GATATTACACAACCCAAGATCAGGTTCTGGTTAGTACAGAACACAGAGAATACACTCATCTATGTCTAAGTCTACAATTTCCTTACAACCCATATCCAATTGTACTTCTATGTATTGGAGAAGTAGGTGATCTGCACTTCTCTATATCTAGATAGACTGTAATACACCATAATATTTTGGTGGACAGACAATGGAAATGTCAAATGAATTATAAACCCTAATCATTCTCAACCAGCTGGGCTGGGAACTCTCCGTCCCCACATTAATGTTCCAAGATCTTTCCATGATTTGGAAGCAGATGCTGAAAGGCCAGATATAGCTTCTAGGTAAAAATAACTACTTTTTAGGGAAGCATTTTGCAATGCACGTGCTTGCTGGGCTGACTCGTCTTCTTTGCTGTTTGTCTTTAATGTTCAGCCTCCTCAGACTGTACGTGGGCCCACAGCACACAATCAGTATGCAACCTGCACAACCTGCGACTCCCTAGGCCCGGAACACTAGACCTGAACAGCTCTACACCCTGATCGGCGGGATGGGATCCTCGAGCATCTGTGTGGATGTCATGGCTTCATCAGGTTGCTTTGAAGTGTGTACACATTCGGCCACTTTGGTCACCTCACAAGAGGGTGGGAACAATGTACCCACAAGTGTCATTCTCGGAAGCAAGGCACAGAAGATGATGCTTGATCATTTGAGTCACTTTCAGGGTAAAAGAGTAAAGAAGAGACCAATGAAGAGAGAGAGAGAGAGAGAGAGCAAAGGCCTGCTGGGAGAGAGGAAACGGTGGCTGAGCCAACAGCTTCTGTCAGCACAGCCAGACACAGGGCCAGCTGGGTGAGAGGAAGTTCCTGCTCTGGGCCTCCCTTAAGCAAACACCTGCTCCAGACTGCAGCAAACACACCCCACATGTCTGCAAACACAATGCCTCAAGACTAAATCCATAAGGAGCTCAAGTCGTGAAATGATTTTAGGCTCACTGCTTTTCTCCAAACTAGCCTGCCTGCCCCCCAAAGGGAGCCAGAGCCACTTAGCTACAGTACCCAACAGGGAAGCACCTCAGAGACAGTCCCACTGTTCCCCTCTCTAAATCCCTTCCCTCCTTAAGATAATTTATCCTACATTACATCATTTCTGGAAATTATGTGCATGTAATGATCAAACTGTATACTTTGTATGGCAGTGTTCCCATATTTTGCACTAATCTATGTTTAAATTGATATTTTCTAGTTGATGGAATTTTAAAAATGAAGGAAATTAGGTATGTAGTGCCATTGTAAATAAAAAGCATGTGACACTTAATTCCCTTAGCAACTCTTATTTTCTTGAAGGTTTGTTTCCATCAGAAAAATAGATATGGACATTGGTCAGCCCATTTACTAGAATTTTACCTTTACTTTTACTATTTTATTTTAAATATTTAACTGACAAAATTATAGATATTCTAAATAGATGGTACATGTATCCACTGTGTGATTATCACCATAATAGAACTAACACGCCCATCACTACCCATTGTTAGCATTTTGTGTTTCTGTCATCAAATTGCAAGCACGCAGCACAGTACTACTGACTCTAGTTAGCATATTGAACATCAGAGCCACAGAACTCATTCATTCTATAACTGGAAGTTGCTTCCTTTTGACTGAAACCTTTCAGTACTTGTGGAGCTCCTTCTATGCCAGATACACAGGGCTTCACCCATACTAACACATTTAACTCTTAAAATAGCCCTCTGTGATTGGTGCTCATTTTATAGATGAGGCACACCAGGACACAGAGCTGCAGAAATTTCCCCAAGATCACGTAGAGTGGAAGTGCTGGAGCCAGCCAGTGTCCACAGCAATGTTGGCTGCTGATGCCAGGTGCCTTCGAAGTCCATGGCCACTGAATTAAAAAACAAAACACTCCTGTACCCAGGCTCCTTTTCTGGAGAGACACTGATGAGGCCTGGGTGTCTGGATTAAGATAGGGATTCCTGCACTCATGCCTGGCTCACTCAGTCAAGTTCCTGCCCTCATCATTTAGGATTAATGAACACTTTAAGGCAAGGTTGAAGGACATGCTGGGTTGATGAATCTGAAATAGTCTACTACCAAGGAGGGGACAAATTTACTCTAACTGTGGATGTTTGGATGATCCTCATTTAGATAAACGGATTCTCAAGGAGCTTCCTCACCAAATGATAATTGTTTGCAACTTCCTGCTCCTAGGCAAGGGTTTCCTGGCATAGGGCACATTGCCTTAGCCAGTGACCAGGGTGGCTGCAGAGGCCTTGGGCTCTCAGCAGGTGGTTGCTCCTTGTGCTCAGGATGGTAAACACTCACCCAGCCTCAGCTTTCCTCACTGAAGAGCTGCAATAATTTGGTGAAATAATGCATGTCAGCGTGCCTTATAAGCTATGAAGCACCACAAGAGTGGTCGCCCAATAGCAGTGTTAACAGTGGTGGCCTCAGTGCTCCCTGCCTTCTTGAAGCCTCCCCACTGGGCCACAGCTTAGAGACATGGATGAAGAAAGCCACCCAGGCAGGCAGGCTTACCTTGAGTTAATCAGGAGAGAAGCTTGGCGAAGGGATCAAAGGACAAGGTGGCACTGGGAAAATCCACATTCTCTACATTCCTAAGAAAGGGAGCGTCCAGCTGTGAATTTATTGACTCTCCCTTAAGAAGTTCTAATGGAATAAATTTTTGCTTTCTTGGTGCCTGCTAATTAGACAATTATTTAACTGTTTCTTTTTTTTTTTTTAATGACTCTCTGCTGTTGTTTGAAGACTTCTGTCTATTATTTGTAATAAAAACCTCTGTCACATTTTTGCCTCATTATCCTTAACAAATAGTGCATTCCCCAGCCCCATCCCTGGCTCCCTCCATTCTTCCTCCCCAGCACCTCCCCAGTCTAGAGCTCCCAGAGTTTCAAAGACCAGCTGTTATCATTTTGTTGACTGAGAGATTTTTAGAAACTTCTATCACAGGCACAAGGCTCCGTGGGGGGCTGTTGAATTAAATATCAGCTCTTCAAACAGGAATTAGCTCAGAGAACAAAAGCAGCAGGGATACAAGGGACAAACATGGGCAAATACCAGAGTCCTCCCGCTCAGTGGCGGAGAAACTGGTGCTCTCTCCCTGCCCTGCAGCTCAGGCTGCAACTCCCAGGCCTGTGGCCACGGTTGGCCTCTGTGAGTCCTCCAGCTCTGAGGACTGGAGACCAAGCCCAGGCCTGGGTCCCTCCATCTGTCTTCAAAGTGAAGGAAGCCTCTCATTATTCCCTGCAGCTAGTCAGCCTCCTGTGAGTAACCCAGAGGATTTTCTGTTGCTGTTTCTTCAGAGGAGAGAAGTGGGAAAACAAAAAAGTAAAGGAATACACATTTGCTAAGCCCTGTGAGATGCCTTGCTGCTCAAAGCGTGACCAGGGTCAGCTGCATGGATGTGCGCCTTGTACGGTGGCCCTTTATTGAGGATGGCCGTGCTTGGTTTATTGCTCTATTGTCTTCAAATTCTTAGTAATTTTATCCTTCAACTTGTTTTTGGAAATGAAATGCAATGGGACATGAGGCATGCACAGAATCAGAGGAGCTATGGGCAGCTCATACATTTAGACCCCATTCACACCCAGCCTTTGTGAGGGTGCTAAGAACAGTGGACCCCGTGAAGGGGGTAGTTCAGGGACACGCAAAGCAAGTACAAGGTAAGCAGGAGCTCTGGCAGTCCCAGAAACCAAGCACGGGCTTTGACCATGGAAAGCAGGAAATAGTGTTGTAAGAAACACAAAGACTCACAGAGCTGGCTGACCTCTGAGTTAGCCAGCCCCTTGTGTTGCAGGGGAAAGAGGGCTCCTTTTCCTTCCCAGCCTCCCTTGCTAAACCCAAAGGAAGGGAATACTGCTGATTGTGCATCAAGAAATGAAATAAAAGTGTTTTGAGTTTTCTCTGTGTAGCAGTACCACTCTTGGTACAAACAAAATACATTTCTACATACCACCTTTGATATACAAATTGTATAATATTTGTATTTCAAAGTTGAATATTTGTATTTAACTCATATGTGGTTTCACTCCACATATGAGTTAAAGATTCTTTTTTTTTTTGAGTTAAAGATTCTTACATATGCACTTAAAAGTGATATTGCACAATGTAAATTATAAATTATATGCTAATGATTTATAAATTCAGTTTTTTCTTTATTTAATACATTAAATTATAAAACCATGACAAGCTGAGCATGAAGAAAGAAAGAAGTATATGATAGTAAATGTCCTTTCTTCCTGATTTTCAAACAAAGTTGTCCTACCTTTTCATTCTGCAGCATCTGTGTTTTCTGTAACATCAGAAAGACTGGGAGCTCCTTAGTAATGCAGAATTTGCTAGGCACAGACTATACCTGCACTCAGGAGGCTGAGGCAGGAGGATGACTTGAGTTTGAGGCCAGCCTGGGATACAGAGCGAGTTCAAGGCCAGCCAGAACTGCATAATAAAACACTGTCTCAAAAAGACTAAATAAATAAATAGTGTAAGAAAAGAAAAAGAAAGTCAGAATTCTAGGGCCCTTCTGTGACGTATTAATTCAGAACCTGCACTTTAACATAATTACAGGTGACTCACATGCACCCTGGGGAAGCAGACACTTAGATCATCTGCTCAGCCAGTCACAGGTACTCACCAGAGGAACTGGGACACCAACTCTGGCATGTTAACTGCAGAAGAGGTGAGAAACCACTACTCCTCGGGGCTGTGACATTGACCCACAGGATCCCCAACTTAGAGATGTGAAACATAGTAGAGAGGTAATAAATCATGAAACAGGAATTAGAAGTAAAGCTGCCTAGTACTAAATATAAGGTGTGTTTTATGCTACCAATAGTTTCCAAATAAGAGTAAGCATCAGAAATGACTGGAGTTGGCTACATACGGATTTCTGGGCTTGGGACCAGCTGCAGAAAGTCCCAATCTCTAGGTTGGGGCTTTAAAACTCTACATGTTTAAAAATAGTAGTTCCAAATCTTTTTTTTTTAATAGTGGTTAGATGTCGTGAAATAGGTGGCAATGCCTTAACCGTATGTATGTCATCTGGTCCAAGGGCCTCTTCCATCCTTGTCAAAAGGAATGTTGACCTTCTCTCCTTCCGCACAGCACTGGTTCCAAATCTTGAATGCATAGTAACACTACTTCTGGAGCTTTTTAAAATCCCAATGCCCAGCCACATATCAGAGCAATTAAATCCATGCTCGTGGAGCTGGGGCTCAGGTAGCAGAACTTCAAACTACCGAGATCTACTACATTGAGACACTTTGAGCTCGCTAGATTGCTTGCCTGGGCTGGGGAGCCCTGCGCTCCACCTGCACAAGCACCTGTTCACAGGGCATCCCGCTGGGTTCCTGCACACACAGATTAGTAAGCAGGAACTTGTAAGCAAACAAAAGATGGGGGCTTTCGGGAAACTAATTGCATTTCTAGTGCAAAACTAATCAACTAGCTCTTGAAGTGAAAAAAAAAAAAATGCAATTTGTACTCCGGATCACTGGTGTATATTTTGTTAATGAAACTCTAAAATGTATCTAAGAATCATTAGCAGCCAAAAAGCAAGAATGATGTACTAAATATTTATATCTGTTTCTAAATCAACAGTTTAATCTCTAAGAATAATGATCTTCACTACTCATTGTCCTCAAACATCCGTGAGGTATTCATGGTAAGAAAGGAACTATTTATAATGACAGTCAAGAAATTGTGGAAGCCTAGAGTCCAAGACTTTCCAAGATCTAGGAAAGAAACAGAGGAGCCAGTGCTCTCTTAAACTGTTGGCAGAGAATCTCAGGAGCTTAGAGTTAGAAGGTCTTCAGAAGAAAGAAATAAACCTCCCTTTCAAAACTCAACTTTTGCCTACAGCGCTGTATACAAAGTTTCACTAAGCTTTTTCCAGGCCCACCAGCTCCACATGAATCACTTGGCTGCTTGCTTAAATTAAACTGCAGCCACCTCTAATTCCAGCCCAAATCCCCAGACCACCATCACCTGAGGATGCTGCTTACCAAATGCTCCCCCAACTGATTAGTATGCACATTGAAGTTAGAAGACAGCTGTTCTGAGAATTCTATCAGATGGCTCCATCGCAAAATTGGGTAGCAACAGGTTCAGCAAGCCAGTGCCACCCTCTAGAAGTTCTGGTGGTTGACCAGCTGGCTCCCCACCCTTTAAACAACATATACCTTCACACTGCTGTCTTGCCTATGTGCTCGTGTTAGTTTGAGGTTGTTTTACTCATATCTCAGAATGTAGAGTATTAAACAAGCACTGGACCTTAGACACTCATAACCAAATACAATCAGTACAGGGACCACTTATATATAAGCCAAGACAGACTTCCCCTGCCCAGTTATCTCCCAAATATGTCCAGTTGACTGACTTTATAAAGTTTCACAAACATATAACCAATACTTGGTTTTGACCCCAAAACCACTCCCCAAACTGCACAATACATGATCCTATATAGCTCTTCTAAAGCCACCCAGAATAAATCTTATCTCATCTACATGACTGTCTTTACATGCTACAAATATATATCACATTCCAGTCAAAACTTTCATCCAGCCGAATAATGCCATGTCCTCTGGATCTCTCTTTTTATTAAATTGCCTTAAAATTTTGTTTGTAGGTGATGTTATGCAATGTGTATTATTGTTTTGGTATGTGTGTTTTTAGTTCATGTAAGTGGAATTGTGTAATATCTCATTCTATTCTTAATTTTTCATCAAGCACATGGTTCAGAGCTATGCATATTGCTACGTGCACTTTTGTCCTCTATGCTGTGTTTTCTCTGTGCCTTCTCTCTGTCCTGCTCTCTCTCTCCACCTCCCTGCAATGCAGTCTTTTTCATTTCTATTTTTATACATATTCCTCTTTATCTATGTCCCCTTTAAACTAAAAGGGACATCTCATTCCACCCATTAGGAATGTACAGGATGCAGGAGATATTTTTAAGGGGTGTGTCATCCTAGCTTCTCTCAATAGTTACAAATAAGAACACCTAATAAGTAAGGCATTTAATTGAAATCCTCTTATAGTGACAATACCTCACTTAAACTGTTATCATTAAAAGACTTTTCCTTCTTTCTCAGACTGAATAAATCTATCACATTACAAATATTGTTTCCTGAATAGGCTAATGCTACATTCTATTTCCTTCTGTTTACAGAAGTCCTTGTTGCACTGTTAAAGCCAGTCTTATATAAAAAAAAGACTCAGAATATTCAGAATAAACCTTGGAGCTCATCTACCCTGAAGTTGCCTAAGGAGGTGGCAGTAAACCCTAAACATTTTATGAAGGAGGAAATGGAGGTCTAGATGGGTTCAGCCACTTGCCCAGGGACACAAGCCAATTAGCGCCTCAGAGGCCAGTGGAAAGCCCCAGGTGTCCTGACTCCCAGGCTCACTTTTCCTAGTGTCCATGCAAGCCACGCTCCCCCAGCACAGCGGAGGGTTGTGAGTTGGCTCCTACAGCTGCCTCCTGCTCCCCCCAGCCTCTAATTCTCTGAAAGCAGAGTACACAGACCCAGTCTGTCTTGGCGCTTCAGAGCTACAAAGCCTGCATTATTTAACACTGGCTTTAGCTATCTGGGATAGAGAATAAATAGCACTATAATAAAATCCATAAAATATACCAAATTGGATTTTTTTCAGGGATGGCTCCAAGCACAAGTTGGTAATCAAAAGGTTTCGGAAACACTGGAAATAGTGTTTGCTGTGTAGAAATTTCCCTGAATCTTAACAGCATCCCTGTTTTCTATCACCCACTAGCTGAATACTTTAGGAGGAGAGGCATAAGTCACTCTAAGTCATGAGAAAGAAGGGAATTTTTAGAAAAGCTTCATAAAGAATGCTTTCTCTGAACATCTTCATCAAACATGTCCATCTTAGGAAAGAAGGCCTTTGATCCTCAGAGTCTCCGATATTTCCAGGGAAGTCACCATCTACCTGGTAGAAGAAACAGTGGCTGTACTTTCTAGCAAGGTGATGTACACTGTGCCTTTACAGGTATTTGGGTTTGCATGACTACTTCAAATGAAGTCTCCCTCTTCCTCATGCTGTGGGCCACAATTCAAATTTGACTTCAGAGAGAGAGAGACATTCCAAAGAGGTCTTTCCCACCAGTGTAACCAAGTGAGAAGCAAAACTTATCACTTGCCCCTGTCATGATTGTACTGTTAGTATAGTTCTTTCAAAAGGAAGTTTCAAGGCCTAGAATGCCTAACAAGCACAGTCCATTACCTCTTTTCCAATCAAGTTCCTAGTGAGACAACTAAGAGGGTATTGGTTAGAAGATGAGATCATGAAAGACAGCCATCAGGGAATCAGAGATTTGAACAAATCCAGAAAAACCAGTCAGTACAATGGGGTGGATATTACTACTCTAAAAACCAAGGTGAAACTTGGGTAAAAGTTTTTGTTTCCAGAAGAAGCTGGAGACAAGCCCAAGCAACTTGGTAACAACAAATTCAAAGAGCAAGAATAGGCTCTGAGACACAGGATGAATTCACCAAAGAATTCCTTTTAGATCAACTGAGCCAAGAGTGTTGACTCCTCTTCTAAGGATGCAGAGCACAAATGGATGGACCTTTGTCTGCTGGACGAAGCTTCCCAACTGCTCCTTCACAAAGCAAGAGCAACTGTCTAAGTAAGGATTAATGAGTGAAGGACGTAGAGAGAGAAGAGTTTCCTACATTTGCACACTCCAAGTCCTAAAGGAAAGAACAAGGATGAAAAGGAGGAGAAGAGAAGGGGGCTCCCTTTGGATAGTCCTCCCCAGCGAGCAAGATGCTAGCTTTGTCCCCTGTGGCAGCCATGGGCAGAATGCACATGTCAACACAATTTATCTTTCACAAGATACCACCTCTACCCTCACTTCTATGAAAGAGAGTCCTGTGTGTACAACATCAGCAAACCCACAGAGGAATCCATGTCAGAAAGACATAGTCACTAATATGGTCCTTCATTCACCAGTAACCAGAGTGCACTAGACCTGCAAGTAAAGACTGCAGACAAAGAAGGCCCAACACAGAGTCGAATGCAAATCTATGCCGCAATAAAAACCATAGACTAGTGGAAACACATACAAACTTCTAAAAATCTAATTAACATACTCAGAGATCACAAATAGCTTCCTCTCCATAAAACAAGACACTTTCATCTAAAAGTCAAAACAAAAGGACCAAGAAACTGAAAATATGCAGAGAAAAGTTAAGTGATGTGGAAGATATTCAAAAAATCCAGCACCTAACAAAAGTTCCATAAATATATATTACTATGTATGTGTGTATGTGTGTATGTGTGTATGTGTGTGTGTCTCTCTAGAGAGAGAGAGAGAGAGAGAGAGAGAGAGAGAGAGATTGCTTCCCAAGGCTTGAAACAACTAAGAGTCTCCAGATTACAAGTTCTTACCATCAACTGGGCATGGTGGCACAGGCCAGTAATCTCAGCACCTGGGAGGCTGAGGCAAGAGGATTACTGCAAGTTTGAGGCCAGCATTGGGAGTTCAAGACCAGCCTGCTTTGCATAGCAAGATCCTGACTCAAAACAAAACAAAATAAGACAAAATTTCCTATCAAATGCCAAGAAAGATTTGCAATACAGGTTGATATAATTTTAAATTTTAAGGTAAAATAATTCTAAAAATTTACAAAGAGGAAATCAACAAGAGCAGGATCAGCCAGCGTAGCCTACATTTAAACATTTTATCTTGTCAGCCACGTGTATAGTGAGTGCTCCATGTCAAGCCCTGTTCCCGGCACTTTACAAAAGAGCACTTCACTTGGTGAATGAAGTTTCACTTTTGTTTTTGTCAATAAACCTAAAAACTGGAACATAATCAAATGATGGCTTAAAATTATAAGAAAAAAAAGTATTTTCAATCCTTAAAACCTTTGAAATATATGCTTAAACCATTGGTTAAACATGTGGGCAAAATACTGGCTAGTTTTTGTCATTGAACGTTTTGGAAGATACACAAGCTCTATTGGAAAATAAAATATATCAGAAGCAAATGCAAGAAATGTTAAAGGAGTTTTATAAAACAATATAGGATACAAGACATTAGTAGCTGAATATGACCTAGAAAAGATGAAAAAGTTAAAGTACAG